TCTAACGGTCGCGGCGAGAAGCTGCTCGACCTCGACGTGTTGATTGACGTGAGTGGAGAGAAGAGAAGGCGCGGCTGAGGTTGGTCTTGACGGCAATTTCGGTAAAGGCTGTGGCTTGGGAAAGGAGGCAGATGCACATCATCGACATGGGCTCGGCATAAACCAGCCCGCCAAAGCAAGGACGCGGGCACTGGTCTGCTAGATGCGATAATTACTCACGCCTACAGCTAGCCAGGCACTCCCAGCGCCTCCTCTAACACGCACGCCCGAACAACGCCCTTCACCACGCCCTCGATGTCTGCGCTCGACGCGCCTGTCTGCACGCCGCCGCTCGAATAGGAGTAGCAGCCATGGGTCGTTGTTTCACACAGCACCGACCCGCCCGCAAATTGCCTGTTATGCGCTCGCCCGCCGTGTGCGCTGCTGCGATATCTTGGGCTGGCCCTCGATATAGACGTCGCCGGCTCCTTGAATGTCGCTTGACCGCGCGCCTGCTGCGAGACATGCGTGATCCATTCCTGTCATCTACCCATCCGTATGACCGTCGCGGTCGAGGTCGCTCTGCGCGTGCTCACCGCGGGTCGCGTCCAAGAGCAAAAGCAACACATAAACATCAACAATACGCCCAACTTTGTCGCAGAACGTTACGACGCGCCCTGCCGGGATGGGCAGCACAAATAAGCCCAGATGACGCCCCCTAACTTCATCTGACAATCCACAGCAAGGACATCCACGCGTGTAGCAGCAAAGACGGAGGTTCGCAACAAGACAGGTCGACCAAACCGCTGTCACCATGTCTCAGCCGTCCACGCCGTAAGGGAGGCCTGCCCTGCATGTCTTTGCATTCCTCGCCAGCGCATCCAATGAGAAGAAGTTGCCGACAGACAGATAGACAGACAGACCTTCATCTCTGCGCCTGCAACTCAGTCTGCGCAAAGCATTTTCTCTACACGGAGAACGAGGCAAGATAACCTTCGAGTCCGAGTCGCGCCGTCTGCTCTGTATAATTTTCCCCTTTGGGCGAGCGTTAGGCCGCTCTTCGGAACATTGGAAATTAGATGTTTGGCGCCTCGATCGCCCTTGCCGTGCAACCAGCGGACCCACCTTCCCGCTCCCACCGTTACTCGACTCTTGCGCCATCTCCAGATGCCCTCGCGCTGTGCAACACGAGCCTCTGCCGTCCGGCTTGACGTCACTTTGGGAAAATGTCTGCTGCACGCTTCATTTCCTTTCCACCGCCCTGCGGCACATCTTGCGGAGCATATCTCCATACTGCAACGGTCGTACCCCGCGAGCATGGATCCGCTGTTCGAGTCGGGCATATTCGTCTCTTCTCACCTTACATTGAGTTCAACCATCTTCCAACGTCAGCTCTAGATTGCCGTTTCCTACGTAATGTTCAGATTGAGTTGCATGTCGGGTCAATGTTGAGGAACTACTGCTTCGGACGTTATTGAACAGATTGTGACAGCACTGATCAGACGGGTCTACCCTCGTCATGTCGCTGTAATACTTGGTCATGCGCACGTTTGTGACAGAATGAGTTGAAATGTAGATCCGGAAGCTGCGGAGTTAGTAGGAAGTCGCGGGGGACACCATGAGTGTAATAGAGAATCACGTGGACTAGAGGCCTAGAACTTTGCAACTAGTACACCTTGCATTGAGAACCCACAAGTAGGTTACACCAACTGGTGACATGCCCTCTGCGTAATTTCATTATTTGGTGGTTCACTACGGCTATTCTTTTGCAGTCATGCCACTTCACATCTTAATCTCGTTCGGCAGACCGACCTCCAGGATGTCAACGCCCTTCTGCAGCTCGCTCTTACCGGGCATCTTGTTCCTACGCATGAGCTCCGCTGCTTGTGTCATGTAGGGATCCTTCATCATACTCGCGACGGCCACCACTGTCTCGCCCTGGGTGTAGTACGCGACAAACGACGGCTTCTCTGGCTCGCCCTGGAGGATCACATCGTCGTAGCCACCCACCGTGTTACCGCAGTATCGCAGCTGCGAGCCCAAGGCCGACCAAAAGACGGGAATGAAGGGCTTTGCTTTGGATCCTGGGTTGTTGATGGTGTTGGCTACAGAGCGACCGGCGTTTTGTGCGACGTTCCAGTGCTCGATGCGAACTGGTGTGCCGTTGCCTCCTGGTCCGTGGTAGGGGTATGTTGCGATGTCACCGATGGCATACACATCCTTCAGGCCACTGACGGCAAAGGACTCGTCTGTCTTCAATGATCCGTCCTTCTCCAGCGTAACGCTTGAGTTGTCCTTGAGGTATTCGGTCGCGGGCGCGACACCGACACCTTCGATGACGAGGTCTGCCTCCAGTGTGGTTCCGTCTTTGAGATGCACAGCACCGACCTTGGATGAATCGCTCTTGGAAGGAGTGGCCTTCTCAACACTGGCGCCCATCTTGAACTTGACGCCGTTCTTCTCGAGCAGACCGCGGAAGATGCCACCAACCTTCTTTCCCATTACACGCTCCATTGGTTCTGCGATAACGTTAGAATACCATCAACGAGAGCAGACGGATGACTTACCCTCTTCCATACCAATGATGGTCACATCGTTCTTCATGCTAGCGAGGCAGTTGCCGACCTCCATACCGATGAACGAGCTGCCAACGACCACGACCTTCTTGCCGTTGTCCCCAACAGCCTTGAGGATGTTCTGTGCGTCGGGCAGAGTGCGGAGAAGGAAGACGTTGCCCAGGTCGCCCTTGAGACCGTCAAGTGGCAGCCACCTTGGTGTGCCACCAGTCGCCAACACCAGCTTTGTGTATTCGTACTCCTTTCCAGACTTTGTGGATACCTTCTTGCCAGAGAAGTCTACGCTCTTCGCCTCGTCTTCGATAATGTCAATCGACGCGTCCTTGTAGAACTCTTTTGACCTCCAAGCCGCCTTGGAGATATCAGCCAGCAGCGCCTTGGACAACTTGGTTCGGTCAATGGGCTGGTAGCCTTCCTTGGAGATCACGGTGATCTTGCCATTGTATCCGCCGCCTCTTAGACCTTCAATGGCACCAAGAGTACCCGAGCCACCACCAATGACTAGGACTTTGTCCTCGCTCACTGATGAGCACTTGATGTTCAGGTATTTGCGGTTGGCTTTCAGTGCGTCTTCGGTGGTTTTGACGTATACGGCGCCGTCCTTCTCGACTACTTCGTACTTTGCAATGGGGTCGAGCGCGGGTGCATCTTCAACATCTCCGGTCGAGACCTTGAAGCAAGCTATGAATGTCAGTCTTGAGCATGCGACATAGGTAGCGTATGGGTATTACCTCCGTGCCATGGGCATGTCAAACGACCCTCTGGTGTCAATACGCCCTTCACTAAAGGCGCGCCGTAATGTGTGCAGTTGGCACTGGTAGCATGCACCTGGTCCTGGATCTTCAACAGGAGCACCTTTCCTCCCTCAACACCCTCAACTTCGACCTCCTTCTTGTCTCCATTCTTCATTTGTAAGGAAGTGACATCCTTGAGCTTGAATTCTTGAGCCATGGCTACGGTTGTTGATGTGAACGGAGCTCTTTGTAGACGACTGGTGGGGCTGAATTGGAGCTTGAGTGAGGTTCGTAAGGGTCGTAGAATACGTAGTGACTGCATTAATGTTGTAAAGAGAGGTGAAGAGTGAAGGGCTGTCTATGAGCGCGACAGCTGCTAGTTGGCCAATGATGACAGGCGCATTACTTAGATTTAATGATGTCACGATTGGACATGGAGGAGCTCCAGAAGCTGTAGCGCCGATCGCGACCCCACTTCGGTCGGCATCACTGCAATGTGGTGTCACCTTGCTATGCACACAACAAACAAACTGAACAAATGCGCTGCAGTCTACATGGGCTGTTAAGTGATATTCAAGAGTCTTGTCGGAATTCTGCTATCTCTATCATTCTCTCTGTAGGAAGTAGGTGTTAAAATCTTGCGTGAATTGGGTGGTGTTTTCAACCTGTCCACGGTCAAAGTTCCCTACGCATGCGAACATCTACATCTTTGATGCGATATAACTACAACGCTCCGAGGCCTGTAGAGTCCTCACGATGCCCGTATCTTGGGGTGTGAGTGTGACTCTACTGCTGCTGGAAACTGTTGACCTGGTAACGATTGCACGACTGGGAAACATAAGCTCCACTGCAGTACTCTGTGGGAGACATGATGTGATAAGAATACATGCGTCCAAGACAAAGGCCGAGAAATAGACAAATCTTGAATCATATAAGCGAAATGACATGCAAGAAGCAAATGAGATTACGTAGCATGGCTACGATACCCACCAAGCCAGACTTGCTGATGGCTTTGATCCAGGGACCGAACAATTGTCTTCGTTCACCTCTGCATGGAAACTTTCGCCCTCACATGTGCAGTCGCAACTATAAACCTCTGCTATAGAATCTCGTGATGCCAGAATAAGGGATCGGGACGCGGGACGCGGCTACCCTTCGCGTAACCGCCACCTACCAAACATCAACTAAGCACATGCTCTAGTTTGGCAGATCCCAAAGCAAACATACGCGGGACGCTCCAATCCGGTGACATTGGCCTCTTACCCCGCGGTCTGTTAGTTCAGTACCAACCAGTAGTTCTGACAGCAAAGCAATATCTTGCAGTAGACCTGAACCTTTGTTCAATGCTTTTCAAGCCTTCGCCCCGCCACCGACCCTTCTCACCACCAGTCACCGTCTGCCATTGCCGACAACACCACCACCATACACCCACATCAGACAGCAAAGCAAAACCCCCAGGCTGACTCCATCGTATCACGATTTCTCACAGCGATCTGGTTTTGGACCTTGGATCGTCGCGATTTTGTTGAAAAGTCATTGCGAACCCCGCTCGTGCAAGGTCGATTCAGGGCATCAGGGTCAACCCTCTACCAACTCATAGACAGTCCCCTATGCACCAACTTGACGGCGACCGAAGCGCACGTTGTAAGTAGCGCATGAGCCAGGCAAGAGTAACTTGACGACACTTCGGTACCGACGGCCGGCGGTTAACATGGCTCGTTAGTGGCACAGATACTCACAAGACCGAGTGCTGACGAGCACAGACACATCCTTCCCTTCGGACCTACCTGTCCCTCAGGATGACGGCGCGTGTTCGCACTTGAGCGGGACACAGATACCTTCCGTATCCTTGTCTGCAACGTCAGGAGACTGGCTTGATGTCTCAATTTATCCGGGCCTGACAATCGTCTTCTGCTATCCGCGTACCGGTGCACCTGGTGAAACAATCACTGAAGATTGGAACTCCATACCAGGAGCACGAGGCTGCACACCTCAGGCGTGCAGCTTCCGCGACGAGATGGCCAAACTACGCGACCTCGGCGCACAGCGTGTATTTGGATTGTCGACTCAGGACACTGCCTACCAAAAAGAGGCCAAGGACCGGCTGCATTTACCCTACGAACTGCTTTCGGACGAGAACCTACACTTTGCCAATGCCCTGAAACTACCCACTTTCAAATGGCAAGATAAGACACTGATCAAAAGATGCGCCCTCGCGATCGAAGACGCAGTCATCGTCAAAGTCTGGTACCCTGTTTTCCCTCCCGACAGCAGCGCGAAAGACGTAGTGGGATGGCTTGCAGGCAGAAAATAGTATATGCAGGTACCATTTCCGTGCCCCTGAAACGAGTTGGTACCACATTTGGATGCGCACCCGTGAACATCCTGACTCGGGCCCCTACGGTGCTTTTACGGCTGCCGAATCCGGCTATGTTGGTAGTAGACAGGGGAACTAACAGCAGTTATCGCAACGTACTCAATACTGGGCACAACAGAAGCTGGGGGGTCAGTTTCTCTCGATTAGCACGACGGTATTTTCCGCCGTCGTGATATACCTTTATTGCTCACACACACACTGTCAACTGTCGCGGCAAAAGCAATGTTTGGGGACAAGGTTTGACGGGTGCGACGTTGGGTTGCGCACTAAGGATCGTCAAACCTCCAACCGAACGTGGATCGCCCGCACCGTGCGTGCATCGTCAATAAACTTTAGCTCCACGCTCTTCTGCCGGACCCTACAAGATATGGTCTAACCCGTGCCGCCCTGCATGGCGATGTTGTGTCGCAAGGACTCTGTCGATCGCGGATCTTCGTGACTTTGTGAGCACCTACTACTATCCTTCATACACACTACATTCGTTCTATATGCTTTCTTTTCGGAGAACTTGGTGTATCACATAAAGAAGCCTGCGCATCCTGACGAAGTGGCTGAGGCATCGGCGCGGCGTCGTTCACTCACTCCTTATCAGTACAACCAGCTTCAACACAATCTTTAATAATAATGTCTACCACACTCATTACTACCCGCCGACGACCACAAAGTACTACATCTACCTCATCGCGAAGAGCGCCGGCTACATCCACTTCGTCACAAAGAGCGACTGGTACTTCTACCAAACAACGGAAACCGAGCGCAACTTCTACATCATTACGCATTGCCTCGTCGTCACCAACCGCACTACCTACCAACTTGGCATCGGACTTCTCCTTCATCCAACTTGGAACGAATGCTCCCGTTCCCAGCGTAACCAACTCACTCAATCAGCCAAGCCTCGTGGACACTTCCAAGGGACCCACCGAGACATGCTCTACAGATAGCGACTGCGCAAGCGGCAAAGCATGCTCGAGCGCAAGATGTGTTACCATGGGCGGTGCTGCACCGCTTGGCGGGTCGGGCGCAGAGCCAACTTCGCGACTAACTCCAGGGTCGGCCATTGGCATCGGTGTAGGAGTTGTGGGAATGGTGGTGTTGATGATTGCAGCTGGTTACTGGTTCTGGAGGGTTCGAGCAAGACGGCCACGCACCCATACGATCGAGGCGCCTTCACACACTCGCCAAAGGTCTGCCTCGAATGCCACAGATCAGAGGACCTTGGTAGCATCACTACCAAACAGTCCCCAGAACGCAGCCTTCAGTCAACAACAGACCATGGACCCTGGGCTATTTGCCAGGGCTCTTGCATTCAATGAGAAGAAGGAGAAACCGGACAACAAGAGATCAGGATCTATGGAGAAGCACGCACGAAGCTCGACAGAAAAGGCACTGCCACCTCGTCCAACACCTCATCCGCTCATGGAACATCCCCTTCCTCCACCGCCAACGAAAGCGAAGTCGTATGCGGTCAATGTCAATATCAACAAGAGCATGATACTCGATGATGAGTTGATCAATGCCGTCAGTTCGCTTCGGGGTAATGATACTCCTCGCAGTGGTACTCCCACCCGGGATCGTGCGCCGCGATACAAGTTTGAGGAATACATCCCGCCTACAGCCGCTCCTCCATCGATATCCATCTCGCATGCCACGCCTACCGCGGAAAAGCGAAACTCGGAATACGAACTTAGCCAATTACCGAACAAAAGACACTCTGCCGACAGTGTCTCGATAGCCGACGGCAGTTCGAACGGAGGTGATTCCGAACCACCCTCCCCCGTTAGAGAGACTCTTTCTAAACTGGAGAGCAAGCCCCCTCAACTTCCATTACCCGACTTGCCACCTCCAAGCCCAAGCTTCAGCTTTCGTTCCTACGACTGGTACCAGGATATCATAGGCGATCAACCAAATGGCGAGCCGAACACACCCACCGTTCCTTCGCGCAACCCTGCGCGAACACCAACAGAATCGACATTCCCTAAACCACTTTCTCTTTCTCCAAAGAAGGCGCAGTCCGCCATGCTACACTCGAGTCTTATTCCAGAACCACTTTCACCTGGTGCACCTCCTGCTGCATCAGGGTTGCTTTTACATCCAAGTTCAACGGTACTACCCAGTCCTACGAACCCGAACTTTCGTTTATCACCAACTGTTTATACCCCTCCGCGACAGCAGTCTCCTATACCACCAACAGCCCCACGTCGAGCCTCCGCGCGGGCTTCTACAATGACCACGGCAACCCGAGCTACGCACGATTCGCGAAGCTGGCTCCCGGACGATGGATTGTATCTTGCTGAAGAAGGTGACGAATACGCCGAATACAAGACTTTCCATCGACCTAGCGAGGACAGCAGGCCTACAAGCTACTCGCCCTTGACGTGAGCTACGGGAGCCAACTGCCCTACCATCATTCCAACTATGATGTTGGGGGCGCGCTGAGCTTTGTAGTCTTACCCATGCGGGCCGTGTACTGCCTGCACCAACATTCTTCATTCTCCACGGGCCGAGACCCTCAGGAAGGATCGCATTGCGCGCAGTGTAACACATCCGCTGCTCCACTTCTGTGTCCCGACTTTGGACCAACGAGGGCGTGCGCGACAGCCCTGTACTCCGACGCACGGGAAGGAAGCACGCGGGAAAACGCTAGGGCACGCGAGGCCATGAACTGCATGCTGCTCCATGATGCAATGCGAGCAAGGTGCAAATACTACGGATCATGCTGCAGAGCGGATGCAATGTCACAACGACGTCTCACATTCTTGTACTTTAATACCCTAACGTAATGTAAAACAAACAGTATCAATGAAATACAACAACGTATCGATTTCATAACAGTATGGCTGTGTGTATAAGCTTTCTTCCTTCGTGACCAGCAACCGTGCTTGTGGGGAGATCTGCGCGCGACCCCACTGTCATGACATGTGGCTACAGAACGTTGAACCCGCCATATCGTGCCGTGCATTTACAAGTTTTGGCTCTACCGAGATACATTCCGCGCCGCGCCCACAATCTGCGCTCTTGTCAGCTTCGGAAGAGGACTGGGATGTTCACGTGGACTGAGGAAGCAAGAGCGCTATGAAGGCGTTCGGAGATGCTTAGCAATTTGCCTCCGTCGGGTCGCACTTACTGATTCGGTTCATGTCGAAGCAGGCACGATGACTTCCGTGCCAAACACTGAAACTATGAATGAAGATATCACCTCGACACCAACTTCCGACCCTCCAAGCTTGACGATGATTCGTTTCTTTTCCTTTAGGGATCCGTTCTTTTCCTTCAGGATTGTCGCGCTGTACCGCATGCTGGGGTACATCCTACACTGGAAGTACCCACGGGTGAGTCGCTTCTGCCAGGCATTATGAGCTATCACAAGCTTCAAGCCACGAAGCTTCGCATCTAGAAGTCCGTCTTCTTCACGATCCCCACACATCGACGGAACTGCATGTCTCCGCACGTTCCTATTCGCTCAATGTCGGCACGCTCCCCCATGATCATCCCCCGCACTGAGCTCGCTTATGCATGGCGCATGCAGGCGCCCAGCCTCCTCGAGTCCAGTTCCTGTTGCTCAGCGTCATTGCAGGTTCCTTCATTGCGGGGAATCGCAGATTCACGCAGCAAACCAATATGGCGCCTAATGCAGTGGACAGCAACGCGGAAAGCTATAAAGGGACCAGGTCGCCATGGACTCCAAAGGATCTTCAGGCAGCACTTGACTGGTTCAGCACATCGATCATGTCGCGCTCAAGCTATCTTCAAGCTTCAACGCTGCTCTCTTCCTTCCTGTCGCTTACAGCTGGCCAGACACCTATCAGCTCGTCTGACGGCGGTTGGAGCACGACCCTGGCTGGCACCCCTACCTCATTCCGCCCTGTCTTTACTCTTCCTCCCTCAGTAGACCAAGGCGTTGAGCAGATCCCCAACATCTACGATCCGCAAGCCGTCGATGCACAGGATGTCTGCCCAGGCTACAAGGCGTCCGGTCTTGAACAAAACGACCGTGGCCTGAGCGCCACCTTGACACTGGCTGGTGCACCTTGCAATGCTTACGGTACCGATATCGAGGAGCTGGATCTGAAGGTTGAATACCAGGCCAAGGGGCGACTGGCCGTTAGCATTGTTCCTAAACATCTTGATGCTAGCAACCAGTCGCAATGGATTGTTCCCGATGATCTTATCCCAAGGCCGCAAGCCGAGGATTCATCAGAGGGCACAGACCTCAAATTTGATTGTAAGTCATCATGATGAGGATATTGTTGGATTCCGAGGATTCCCAGCTAACGCGATTTCAAGGGGGCAACGAGCCGTCTTTCTGGTTCAATGTCGGCCGTCGCTCGACTGGTGATGTCATCTTCACTACTCAGGGCTCGCACCTCATTTATGAGAACCAGTTCGTCGAGTTTGTGAACAGCCTGCCTGAAGACTACAACCTTTATGGTCTGGGAGAACGCATCCACGGCCTCCGCTTGAACAACAACTTCACCGCGACCATCTACGCTGCTGATGTTGGTGACCCAATTGATCGCAATCTTTACGGTAGCCACCCATTCTACCTCGAAACCCGCTACTTCGAAAAGGGCGGCAATGGTATCAAGACCCCTCTTAAACAGTCCGAGATGCAGCAGAGCAACTTTGGCTACGAGAGCAAGCCAACTGGATCGAAGTACGAGTCTTTCTCCCATGGTGTTTACTACCGTAACACTCACGGTATGGATGTTGTCATGAAGCCTGACCATCTCTCGTGGAGAACATTGGGAGGCGCGATCGATCTGTTCTTCTATGACGGACCTTCTCAGCCTGAGGTGACCAAGGAGTACCAGAAGTCGGCGATTGGTCTGCCTGCGATGCAGCAGTACTGGACCTTCGGTTTCCACCAATGCCGATGGGGTTACCGCAACTGGACAGAGTTGAGAGAGGTTGTTGAAACTATGAGGGCTTTCAACATTCCTATGGGTAAGCTTCTTGTCGCATTATGTCGCTTGAGCATGTTTGCTAACTATGAATAGAAACCATCTGGCTGGACATCGACTACATGGACCAATACCGAGACTTCACTCTTGACCCCGTGACATTCTCACCCTCCGGTGTCAAGGACTTCTTTGGCTGGCTGCACGGAAACAACCAGCACTTTGTACCCATCGTGGATGCAGCAATCTACATCCCGAACCCGCAGAACGCGAGTGACGCATACGACACTTACACTCGCGGAAACGAGTCTGGTGTCTTCCTGAAGAACCCCGATGGCAGCCAATACATTGGCGCTGTATGGCCTGGGTACACTGTCTTCCCCGACTGGCTATCTTCCAACGGTGTAGCCTGGTGGGTTAAGGAGATGGTTGAGTGGTACAAGGAAGTGCCGTTCAGCGGCTTCTGGGTTGACATGACTGAAGTCTCTTCATTCTGTGTCGGCTCCTGCGGTACTGGCAACGTTACCCTGAACCCTGTTCACCCGCCTTTCTCTCTCCCCGGTGAGGTCGGCAACATTGTCTACGACTTCCCTGAAGGCTTCAACATCACCAACGCAACCGAGGCCGCCTCAGCCTCAGCCGGTGCCTCGAGCCAGGCTGCATTGTCAGCAGAGCCTACGGCAGAAGTTTCTACAACTGCCAGCTACTACCGATCAGAGCCTACGCCCGGTTCGCGCAACGTCAACTACCCTCCATATGTCATCAACCATGTTCAGGGTGGAGCTGATCTTGCTGTTCACGCTGTCAGCCCTAACGCGACACACGAGAACGGTGTTGAGGAGTACGATGTCCACAACCTCTTTGGCCACCAGATCATCAATGCAACCTACCAGGGTCTCCTCGAAGTCTTCCCTGGCAAGCGACCCTTCATCATCGGACGCTCCACATTCGCTGGTAGCGGCAAGTGGGCTGGTCACTGGGGTGGCGACAATGCGTCCAAGTGGGCTTACATGTTCTTCTCCATCCCTCAGGCTCTATCCTTCTCGCTCTTCGGTATTCCCATGTTCGGCGTCGACACATGTGGATTCAACGGAAACACTGACATGGAGCTTTGCGCCCGCTGGATGCAACTCTCTGCTTTCTTCCCATTCTACCGCAACCACAACGTGCTCTCTGCCATTCCACAGGAGCCCTACGTCTGGGATGCCGTAGCCTCTGCATCTAGGACCGCCATGCACATCCGATACTCTCTGCTGCCCTACATGTACACTCTCTTCAACGACGCCCACACCACTGGTTCTACCGTGATGCGTGCGCTCGCATGGGAGTTCCCCAACGAGCCACAGCTCGCAGGCGTCGACACACAGTTCATGTTGGGACCCAACATCCTCGTCACTCCCGTTCTTGAGCCTCAGGTTGATACCGTCAATGGTGTTTTCCCCGGTGTCGTTGACGGCGAGAGCTGGTTCGACTGGTACTCTGGCGAGCGTGTCCAGGCTGAAGCTGGTGTCAACACCACCATCTCGGCTCCTCTGGGCCACATCCCCGTATACATCCGCGGTGGCGCAGTACTGCCAACTCAAGAACCTGGCTACACCACTACTGAGTCTCGGAAGAACCCATGGGGTCTCATTGTTGCTCTATCAACTGATGGTACCGCTTCCGGCAACCTGTACATTGACGATGGCGAGTCTCTTGAGCCAGAATCCAGCCTGGATATCACGTTCGCTGCTATGAATGGCCAACTAAAGGCTGAGGTCCAGGGCGAATTCAAGGATACCAACGCGCTTGCCAACGTCACTATCATGGGAGCTTCATCTTGTGGACAGGTCAAGCTGAACGGCGAGACGATCGATGCAAGCAATGTAGAGTACAACTCTACCAGCAGCGTCCTGAAGCTTACAGGTCTGAATGATTTGACCAGTGGAGGAGCTTGGCAAGGTAGCTGGACCTTGAGCTGGGAGTAAGCGATAGAGTTTCATAGAGGATGTATCATAGACTTTGGTATTATGAACCATAGAATGGTGAAGCGACCCTAACGCTCGATTAGCGAGCTACCCCTAGACATGAATCTACTGCGTTTCAAAGCCAACCCCTGACCTCCATGTTTGACAAATTGATGCGTCCTCGGAGCGCGCTGTGCTCATAATCTTTCAGGTTTTGCGACGAGCGGAGTCGTGAACAAATGACGTCATAACGGGAACTTGCACCTCCAAGGATACGACCAAAGCCCAAAGGAGTCTTTACGTACCACGCATCATCATGGCACTCTCTCACACACGAAGAAAGTTCTTTTCGAACACCTCCTTCTTCTTCAACTCTTCGAACGACTAAAAGAAGAAAGAAAAGCGTTTCGTCATGCCACCCAAGAAACTAAACCAACAAGCACCCTCCTCAGTCCCCGACGTTGACGAGCTGAAGAGCATAGCCGCCAAATCCGACAGTCCAGAAGACAAACTTAAAGAAGCCGCCGCGAGCGCCGAGTCCGCCCTCGCCTCCGCCAAAACCGCCTCGTCGCTCCGTGCCGCTGCCGAAACCATCAAAGACCCCGAGAAACGGAACAAATACCTGCAAGATGCCTACAATAAGGAGATTGAAGCACATGGGAACTCGAAGAAGGCGCGCGTGCTCAGCTCAGGCGCGTTCCAGGGTAGTGTAGGGGGTGGTGGGATTGGTATGGCTGTGGGTGCGGGACTGGGTACGGTGGTTGGTACGCTGGTGGGGACTGTGGCTACGATTCCTACGACGGCTGTGGGCACGTTGGTGGGTGCGGGTGTGGGTGGTGTACATGGCCCGTGGGTGAAGCTTGGGGGTGGGAAGAAAGATGGGAAGGATAAGGAGAAGGATGGTGGAGAGGGCGGCGAAGGGGAGGATGTTGATGGGCAGATGCAAGACCAGATGGGTGGGGAGGAGGATGGTATACCGGATCCTGAGGCGCTGAGACGTGCGGCAGATGAGTTTGCGCAGCAGCGGAAGGCGAACCAGGAGAATGGTGGTGGTGATGCAGAGAAGAAGGAGAAGAAGAAGCCTAGGAAACTGGAGGTACGGGGCAAACAAGGTGCATGAAGAAGGGTAGCAGGACATTTGATTTTCGAACACCGCACTGAGCTCATGGTTTTGTTTAGTGGATGCATTGTTTGGCGCCAGCATCATGTAAGCATTGGGATTATGGCATAGTATACACAGGTTTGACGAAATACTTCTCCTCCACACTTCTCAATCTGAAAGCCGGGACGAAGCCATGTCTTTTCATCGATGAACAACAACTCCAGCGCCTTCACCCATACCCCGTACCTTTCCCTCAACAACACGTTCGGGTAGTCCCAATTCCGTACAAATCTCATCGAAGCAGTGCATGCCATCTAGAAATCTCAGTAGAGGAAGCCCGCTCCCGCTCTTATCCCTATCGCTCACCAAGCCCTCGAGGGTTTGGTGTTCTTCACCCTTCGAAACACTGAGATGTTGGGGGTTCTGTTGTTGAAGATGATTGTGGTTTGCAGGCATCGCGGAGGCAACGCTCGGTCTGTGAATCGAGAAGGATGGATGATGTGTGTGGATATTGGCTTGGGAAGTGTGGTGACCGTGGGTCTGAATACTTGGCTGGGAGGAATGGTGTACTCGTTCGTTGCCGCGAATTGTAGTGGTGTCTGAGTCGCGGGGGTTTGCGAGAGATGTCGCGGCACTTGTTTGCAGACTCGTTGGTGGTGCGGGTGGTAGGGTCGTTGAGGTCGCTATCGCGTACTTGTGCACACGGTAGAGGAAACCCTTGATGATGCCGAAGGTTATGAAGCGGCGTACGTCGATGCCAGTGAGAAGATCCAGATTCTCCAGCACCCAGTTCTTCAAAGTGAGACCTTGTCGCAGCGATGTGTATAGCGTTATCAACGTCTCATGGCTCGTCTGCCATACATTCTCTTCCTCCTCTTCCTTCTTTTGAGCGGCGATGTGGCTATCGAACTCTGAGACCCTAAGCGTAGATCCGACAGTCTCGCTTTGCTGTGATGACAAAGACGAGGTCGAACTACGCTCGTCCCTACTCTTCTCTGAAACTTCGCTATCCATCCGAGCTGTTTTTGCGTTCGAACCAAGTCTCATTCTCGGTACGCTGACGTATCGCATACACTCCTCTTTAACCTCTGCATCCATTATGAAATCACCAATCTCTGCTGTTGGCGCATATATGGCGCTGAAGCTGAAGATATCCAGTAGTATCAAACATCCATAATACACCAAATGTTGAATGGCTCGTCTTGTCAACGAGAGATCGGTATCAGCCAGTTGCGCTATATGGGCTATCGAGTTGATACCGTTTATGTATGGTAGTATGCGATTGAGAGTGAGGTCCGAGGATACGGGTTGCTGGAGACTTGACAGAGATATGGTGAGCAAGGGCACTTGATGCGCGAGGATAGGTGGAGGAGGCGGTCGCGTAGGGAATAGCTTTAGGTTGATCGTATTCGAGTCATCTAGTAGCTGATGAGTATGTTGCACATTAGGAATGGCATGGTACGAAGCATGACTTACCGATTGGTATCATGCACTCCGCGTAGTTATTTAAATCCTCAAGCACCATCTCACACAGCGCATACACCTTGCTGCCACCACCTATTCCAAATCCGCCGACGCCATCGTCGTGCCCGAACCCAACGTTTCCTCCTTCATCTTCCCAAACGCCCTCCTCTTCTCTGGACAAGAATCCGCCCTGTTCTTCTAGGCCTCTCAACAAGCGTCCCAGCTTCCTCACGACTTCGCCGTAGCACGCCCAGTCGCGCTCATTTTCGCCTATCACGATTGCGAAATTGAAGATGAACTCATTCCTACTGTATTTCCCTTCTCTTATGCAAACCGGGTATCCGATGACGCGGTTGTGGTTGATGCAGAAAGTGAGTAGGCGGTCGCAGAACTGTTGTGTGGGTATGAGGAATTGCGTGACCGATGGAAAGGTGAACAGTGGTGTGGGGAGCGCCGACGGGAGGTTGGAGGGTATTATGGCGCCTGCGGGTACCTGGTGGAGGACGCGATTCCCTGGAGAAGTCAGCGGAGTTTCTGAAGGCGCGCCTCTCTATGGACTACCTTTTTCATGGTGGAAGCGAGTATAGAATATGGCTTTGATAGCGCGCGTAGGCATTGAAGACTGTAGGCTCTATCGCCGAAGTTCGCTGGCGACTACATGGTGGGTGTAGGGTCTTGGAGTCGCGATGTGGGGAGATTCAGAGAGCTTCCGAGGTGTGGTCAGTGCGCCAGATCACGCCTCGGCGTTGTGAGATTCCCAAAGAGTCATTCTGATACATGCGAGCTAGAAACCTGAACAGTGTCTACACTAGCTGTGATTCAAACCACCTAGTCGGTATTTTCACGCTATGGTCATTTCCAGGCATTACTTGTGGCCTCTCCCAAGCAAACGTCTTACACGCAGCGTAACCCGTTCACCAAGTATCCTCGAAGTCATGTTTGCGACCTTGTTCCTCTTGGTGATCATTCCTTTCAATTCGATGACATCCAGTTTCAGCTGAGCCAGTGTTTCCGCCGAAACTGTTTCGTTCCCACTCGCTGTTCGCGATTTGAAGCGCTCCTTCATATTATCCGTAGCCTCAGCATCGCCGGCCAAGAATTTATCGAAGTGCTCCTGGATAACAACTAGTGCCGATTTGTTTTGGATTTTAAAAAATCTTTCCGTCTCAATTCGCACTTTGGTATCCGCCCCATATAGGATTAGGAGTTTCAGTATGGATACCCATTTGATAGGGTCATTGATCCTCCAACACAGACAACATTCCCAGGAACTGAGCCCGTTGAACTTGAAATTTGGATCAGCTCCATTTATTAGCAAACTCCGTACAAGATCGGGGTCAATGTAGTCTGACCAGTGTTCGTAATGCGGCTCAGGACTGCACGCGTAGTTGAGCAGTGGTCTACCGCGTTTGTCCAAACAAAGTTGACCTTTTGCATCGATGGCGTCTCGGACGTACAGAGTCAACCCAAATCTGACGTTGAGGGACATGAAGTTATCATACCAGGGAGCAGACCTGGAATAGTCCTCTTCCCATGTGTCGCACCAAGTTGCCCCTTCGTATGTTTTTGAATATCGCCGATCTTCCATCCATGTTCCCGTGACTGTTGGGAAATAAGTTGTCATTGCTCTGTCAAGTTCGTTGAGAAGTTTCCAAGAGCTCATCTGGGTGTTCGCTTCTGTAAGTCGCGCGAATAGTAGAGCATCAATCACAAGCCCCCAGGGGACCTTGCGATCAGCAGGTTGCAGCCGCCCTAAATCTGCAGCTTTGACTTCCATGACCAATGATTGTAACACAGCCAGTGAGGCATGGAACTTCTCTTCCTTTGCATGTCTTACCAGATCGTCCCAGACCTCTTTTTTGTGTAAAAAATCAGCAACAGTTCTGTGAAGATACACAACGTCCTTCCTGCTTCTTTGTTTTACCTGACGTGATTCGTCCTGACCTGTGTGCTCTTGTTGATAATTGAATCGCGTCCGGAGCTCTAGGAGACCTGCGCAACGGCTTTTGAGTCGACGGTCTGTGGTGATCTCGATCTTTTCGAGTTCTTCGTCTGACAAGGGAGAGATTTTCGCACTTATGATCTCCATGGTTTTGGCTTCTGCATAAGACAATCTGACGGCGGACAGTGGCCCTGCAGAAGTTCTTCCCATTATAGACGACTGCTGGTGGCCTTCGTCGTTGCACCGAAGGATTTGAAATATGCATGCGGCTTGCGACTTGTACAATGAAGGTACATTACTCAGCATGTGCATGAAAAGCGCTTCAAGATCCTGCGGTAAAACTCGGAGCCGTAACTGAAGATCTTCGATCTTGTCGCCGTTCTGTAGCCCTTGGAGGAGAGACTTCACTACAAGTTTGACCCATAAGAAAACACCAGAGGCTGAGCTGACAATTTCTTCCACAAGGGCTTTGACATCGTCTTTGTTCTTGGTTTTCAGATGCATCATCTGAGGATGTACGGATAAGCTGTCATCCACATACGTTGTAATATCGTTTTGAGTGAGCTGCTGGAGCTTCAGTTGTGGCTGACCAACGAAGCAGTCCGTAAATTCCGTAAGTGGCCTGCTCGATAGTAGGGCTTTGATCTTGCCACGTTTCGTGGCAGTGATGAACATCTCCCCAAGCTCGGTCATCGTGATTCGTTGAGCATCGAATTCGTCTAAACCGTCGACTACCATTACGATCTTCGTCGATTTGAAAGGATGATTCACGAGCCTTCTAAACGCTCGTCGAAGCTGGTGAAACGTTGGGAATTCGTCCCAATCGGCGTCGAGTAGATATTGTTCCGCAAATAGTGTGGAGGCTAGAGATATGTCCTGACCGAGCACTTGCCAGAGCAGTGAACGCAAGAGGCCTTCCTGCGACCTTTGGATTCCAGCACCTGAACTCCAAAAGTAGAAGTCAGCAACAATGAGACGATCGCCTCCAGCCCAAAGATGTAGCAAATCCATGACCCGGGGATCTTGATAAAGATACTTCATCAACGTTGATTTTCCGGACCCGGCCTTCCCGTTGATCCAATATACGCCACCATCTTGGCGAAGCCAGTCTGCAAGGCTTGGCCAGCTTGAGGAATCTCTTTTCTCTAGTGCCCAATTGAAGTTGTTCCGATGCGCAGGTTCGATATCGTCGAATCTGTCGTCTTTCCGCGAGAAGTTTAACTTATTCGTGATTGCGCGTGGGACATCCTTTATGCTATACTTTTCTGACCTTTGTTTGGTGATGGCATGTAGGGTCTCGTTGTAACGTTTCGATGCCAAAGAACTTTCTATCTCTTGCCGTTGTATGATCTTCTCGGTTTGTGAAGTTATTGTCGTGCCAAGTTGTTTGTTGCTCTCCACTATGCTCAGCATCGCTGTCCGGCTCGTCTCATCTAGACCTTGTAGTTGATCGTCCCTGATGGACACCAGAATTCGAAACTGAAGCTCATCACGCATTGCCTGAAGTCGTGACATGATATCCTCGATCTTTTTCGCGTTCCAAGATGTTTTTAGAGCGCTAAGAATCGTTTTGTATCTAGCTGCGTCTTTGGCAGATCGCAACGGCTCGAGTTCAGCGATAAGTTCCCGAGCAATCTTTGTGCACTCAGCAGCCAGATCCTCGAGTGCCTATAGACATGTAAGACTGATGTCGCAAGCGTGCAGACCTTATTCAGATCCAACGTACCTGGCTGTCTTGGGCCAATGGGCCCGAACTGGCCGGATTGGGACGAGCCCATAATGTGATGCGTTCGTTCAGCGCCGTGAAGTCGGCAACTAACCGTCCAATCTCTGAGTTCTGTACAGTGGAACCTGACTGGCGAATTTGGTTTACAGATGATAAGACTTTCTTGGTGGAGTCTACGACCTGTAGGATGTTAGCAGCAAGGCTGAGTCCTGCGATGGCCTCCATGGCGGGCGCTCGGAAGCGAAAGGAGACGACATCGCAAGTATCAGGCTGAGAGCTGGCTCTTAAAGGGTCGGACAAGTGCTCAGCACAGCCGCGTCCAGATGTCGCGCTAGCGTTCAGCTGCAGCGATGCATGAATCTGTCAGCCAATACGCGCACTTCATCACCGCCGGCCAAACAGTCGACAAATAGGAAGTCGGAAGCTCGTTTGACCAACCCTTTTTCCAGTCTCCAGAAAAATCCTATATCGCTGCAAACGTGCGCTGGTCAGACGAATTGCGCTACCGTATGACAATAGCGCCTAGGCAGAGTACCTGGGAAAAGAAAAACCGAACAACTGCCTCCTAGAAGGCTACATTACCCCGAAGAATATGTGAACTTCAAACTTCATACCAACGTAGACGGCAGAGTACCTGTTCAATTTTTTCCTTGTATGAGGTGGGACTGGAAGTGAGTTGGCGCGATCAACTCGTGAAAGGGTATATTGAAACGTATCGATACGCTCGCCTGGATGTGAAGATGAAGAGCCCAAATCTTGTTTGGACGTACTCACGCCGCGTAGGAAAGAAATGCACGTGCGCGGACATGCTCATCAAACACCTCATACAAGAACAAAACTGAACAGGTCTGCAGACTACGTTGATCCAAAATCTGGCAAAGTAGGTGACCCAAGGTCAACGTAGGCTCCACGCTGTTCAGTTTTTCCCTAGGTTGGCGTGCAAAGGAGAAACCACCTTGAGTGAATGCCACATCACTTAATCGTCCGAACCGTCCTCAGGTAGCTCCCTCAGCACGCCCTCCACAATCTCAATGAGCTCATCAACATCCGGTCGCTCGCTTGGCTCGAGCCTCAAACACTTCCTCACCACCTCTTTGACGCTATCTGTGATAGCATCCTCGGGGTTCGCCTTCTGCTTGCCCCTTTGCATACCCTCGTCTGGAAATCTCCAGTCACCACCCAAGACACATATGCTCAGACTACCACCGGTCTCATCTGACCTAGCCTCGAAGGGGCTCTTGCCGACTAAGCAGGCGTAGAGCGTGCAACCGAGCGACCAGATGTCGACCTTGGTGTCGATGACAGAGCCGGTCTTGACGTCGAAGAGTTCCGGAGCACGGTATGGCATGGTGGAGTGTTCGGCGGCGGTGTCTTGGATTTGTAGGGCGAGGGAGCGCGATGTGACGGGTGTTGGGGACGGTGCGAGGGAGCCGAGGTCCATGAGGATTGGGGTCTGGCCGTCGTCGTCTATCATGATGTTTCCTACGCGTGTTAGTCTCTTGGATGCGCGACCATGAGATGAATGCAGTGCATACCAGGCTTGATATCTCTGTGCGCGTACGCCCTCTCCCCGCCAGGCGCAATGCCTTCGTGCGCCGCTGTGACTTCTGACTCCTCTAGCAGTCCTTCTGCCTCTTGCTCGTCGTCCTCGTCATGATCGCGATTCCGCCTGCTTGGACGCATCTCCATGGTCTCCGCAGCTTCCGCGTCTGCCCTCTTCGCGTCTCTCCGGACTTTCTTCGCCTTGCCTTCACTCTTCGCGCCGCCGGGTCCGCCCTTGATCTTGTACTGATGCATTGCTTTGAGCGCTTTGCAGACACCCAGGAACAGCACCATGAGTCTTCGCTCGGGGAACTTTGTGTGATTGACCAGGTTCGCGTTGATCATGTCTTGTAGGTTGCCGCGACGGTAGTATGGTAGGAGGATGTATACGGTCTTCGCGGATGAGTCTGATTTGTCGGTTTCAACGGAGTAGTCGATTGAGTGTATGATGTTGGGGTGCGGCGAGAAGAGTGTGTAGGCCTCGACTTCCTTGAGCGCCAGGCTCACGCTTTCTTGGCCGAAGGGACATCTAATCTTCTTGAGTGCGAGGAGTTGTTGATTCGAGTTGTCTTGTACGAGGTATACATATGAGAAGCCACCCTGTGTCGCGATTAGTTGACTGAATGCGGTCCATTGTATGTAGCTCAGCTTACCTCGCCCAGCAGCCGTAATATCTTGAAACTCCGACTGTTGATCTTCAATTGTGGTGAGCTTGGAAAGCAGACCATGCAATTTGTAAAGGAATAGACGACATCTAGGAAGTATGTGCCTAAGGATCCCATCGTGGCGGTTTCCGTTGCGAGTGCGATTTGTTTTGTTTGCGAAGCTATCGACAGCTTGCGTGAAGGCGGTGCCGAGATAGACGCGCGGTCAATTCGAATTGTCGAGTGTCGCAATAGTACGGAGCTTATGTTTGGGTGATGAGGAGGTGATCGGTGCGGAACGATAGTGAAGACGTGTTGTTTACTGTGATAGGATGTAAGTGTGTTGGTGCTGACGACGAGGTTCCGGGTTGCGCCAAGGCGTGGCTGTGAACCCTGGCAGTTGCACGCTTTCGATCGCCTGCGGAACGTGGTCGGGAAGATCCACGTGCGGCTAACCCGAAGCGGGCGCTAGCGTCGCATTGTCCAAAAACTTGAGATATATTCCAAACTCCACGAAATTTTGCCATCAACGTCTCCAAGAGACTCAATACATCTCGGGCGTATGGCTCAGTGGTAGAGCGCTCGCTTTGCAAGGGATTTTAGCGCTAAGCCTAGTGCAGAAGTCTTCAACAACATGCGAGAGGTCCGGGTTTCGATCACCCGTCCGTCCATTTTTTGGCCCCTTAATGCCCCCTGTAACTCTTTTTTGAAGGTCTAACCTGCTATGCTGAGTATAGAAGAGATACTACAAAGTTCCTGTGTCTACAACCACCCTCAACGTCCCCTGGAGGTTTTCGGTATATCACCTAGACGAATTGAATCCACTCTACATGTCGAGCCTATTCCCTAACACATCCTACATCACCCGCCCGTCCATTACAACGTCTTTCTTTGCTGTTTTTCCTGCCTCTTATTTCTATTTGTGCAATTTATAGCATGCTATCGCAAGAGTTATGTGGATCTTGCGAATCAATCTTGTCTAAGAAACTAGGATGAAGTTACTTAAAAGGGGTGAAGATACACACAAACGCTGCTTGCATTGTCTTGCATTTTGTCTATGCAGCTAAGGTTTAACCTCCGTACCTTGCTTTTACCTGTGATACTCTGCCGTGGACCGCCTCTACGTCTAGTACCCGAAGAGACTTGTTTCTTGAGGTTTTTAGAGGTAACTTCGGCATTTCCTACCTAGATTATTAGGTTAGTCGCACGTATGTGTAGGTCTGGTTAAGATTAGTTGGGCTGGCGACATAAGTGTTTAGATGTTTCTCTTAACGGTATTGTACCCGTCTACTATAAGGAATTGAGCACGTTGTTATAAGAGATCAGCTCCTTAGAAAGATAACCTCCCGCTAATTACTAATTTAGCTGCATTACTAACTACCCCATCTACCACAACATCTTAATCAGGCCGAAATCTAAACACCGTACAGCCTACATCGACGCTAGATTTTCCAATCCTCTGATATCATCCTAGTGTATGCGGCAACACCCTTAAGTTTAATCATTGTATCCAAGGACTCTACCTTCTACAATAAAAATTATGAACAGGCTTGCAGACTAAATCATGGTAAAAGTACGCAAAGTAGGTAGCCTAACGTCGATGTAGACTCTACGATGTTCAGTTTCCCCCTAGATTGACGTGACCCCTCTCTCAAGGCGCAACATCCTTCGGCATCCCATCAACCCCCAGATCAATCTCCTTGTCCAAATTCTCCAAGAACCCCTTGCCGCGGAACTCTTCCTTTCCAACACTCTTATCCATTATGCCGGCAACCTCCTCACACTTAGTGTACCACACCCTCTCGTAGTTGTACTCGTCCGCGGGACCATCCGGCATCATGATCCACTCAGGTATCGCGCCTTTCTCTTGCTCACCATCCTTGTACCACCAAAACCTCGCTGTATCATCCTCCTTTGTGCGCCAATTACCGCGGTTCCAGTTGTGTCTCAGCGGAGAGTGCTTGTCCCATCCGCGGACGAGATGGCGGTAGTAGGCAATGGGGTGGATGTATTCGTTTGTATCGCCCAGGTCGCGGAGTTTGGTCCATTTCGGCGCTTTGGTGTCTTCGTTGTAACACTCGACTTCTTCGTGGCCGGGCATGCGTTGCCAAGATCCGATGAAGTAGTATATGCCGCTGTAAGAGTCTACGAGAGGACCTGTACCCCAGCTGAAGTCGAAATTGGTGTGTGAATGAGGTGGAGAGCGCGGCGGAGGTTTGAGTGCGTCGTGACCGATGCCGGGAATGGAGATCTTTGGGAGCAGGTTCCACGCTTTTTGAAGGATGTTCTGGTGGTGATAGGTGCATGCGAAGCGTAGGCGGAATAGCCAGCGCGTGTACTGGTCCATGGAAAGCTGGAAGGCATGGCGATCGATGGTAAGATGAGGCGAGATGACTTGAAGCATCCAGCAGAGGGTTGCGGTGGATATGTTTTCCGAGTCACCCTTCATGTCGCCGAAAGCGTCTTGTGAACCACCACCGATATTTGTATGAACACCAGGAAACCAAACCTGCTTCAGCTCCGGTGTTGGTCTGTTGGGGTCGTCAACTAGATCTTTAGGAATGTACCAAAGAGTAGGGCGGAAGGCCTTCCGACGCTCATCCAGAGCCAACGCCTGGAATGCATGCTCGATGTCTACAAATCGTTAGCCATAATCACACGCTTCGACACCACTAGAACTCACTCTCCGTCAGCTCGACGTTGTGAAACCCATACTTCGTCCTCGACCATGCCAGATCAATACCAATCAGATCGGGTACACCCAACGAGCCAACGGTATCCCACACACCAACCACCTTCACTTTCCTGCTACCTTCACTGACAGCAAGCTCACCATGCGGCCGGATATCCCATACTTCCGCCAGCAGTTTGAGATCATGCCAGTCGATGTTCCTGACATCTACACCCTCTCTCTCCATCTGCAGACCCTTCTCGCTGAGCTTGCCCTTGGTGAACCATCTGTATTCCTTCGTCTCACGAAAGTCAACACCCTCTTCGTTTCTTTGATACAGACGATACAGCTCCGGAAAGAATTGCATG